GTCCATCTTGTACCATTGAGTCTTAAATTGAATTGGCACTGGTTGAAGTGGATCAGTGTTATTATTTTCATATCTATTTTATGGGTAGGTTATGAACATAGTAATAATAATTTTTATTTCTAAATACAAGTATTTGTACAGTTTTAATTCTATAAAGACATTATACATGAATGCTTTCTTGATCTAAAAAATTTTAAATGATAAATTTTTGGATACTCTAAAATACACAACCAGTTTCTTCAAACAAAAGCCTGGATTTTTATAGGTCACAGATGTTATTTTAAGATGAGATTAAAAGGATTTAAAGGAACCACCACATATTCTCTGTCATTTGTCGGTGAAGAAGAAAAAGCTTTTTTACATGAAACCACCTATTGGTTAAACTGACTTCATGTGATTCAGTTATCCTTGACATTCACAGGTAAAGTAGCCCTCCTCCACCCTGTATCACCTCCAGCTACTGCATTTCCATCAGTTCGTGATTCACTTTCTGCAATCTGTTTCCATGTTTTGCTGTAAATGATACCATTGTTTATGCTGGGAGCTTGATTCCCTAATGTAAACAGTCACCATACCTGTGTTTATCACTATTTTTGATACACGGATAACCTGCATATAAGTTTTTCTCCTATATGCAGGTTATTTTTTTTAATTGTTCCAGTCACGGTATTGTGCCTTTGTGTTCTTCACTATTTTTGATGCTTCATCACCTTGTCTTGTCTCTGGATAAAAATGATCTCCCCAAAAAAAGGAATACTAGTGATGCTTGAGGTACTAAGAAGAGGCATCAGCATGAAAGTGTGGGTGTTTAAACAAAGAAAAAAAAATGTATGTAGGGAAAGTTGTAGCAGTGCCAGAGAACTTCCCAGCAAGTTTGTGAACTAAGTACATATTAACCATCTCTGCACACTTCTCTAGCAATAAACAAGAGGAACAAGGAATTTAAGGGTGCTGGGGGGAGGAGTGGGATTAAATTATAGGGAATCAAATACAAAATGGGAGTTGATGCAGTGACTTTTTGCTGATGATACTGTGCTTTTGGGGAGATTCTAAAGAGAAGTTGCAGAGTTGGTGGATGAGTTTGGGAGGGTGCGTAAAGAAGAAAAATGAAAGTGAATATAGATAAGAGTAAGGTGATAAGGATTCCAAATGAGTTAGGTAAAGAAAAATTGGATATCACATTGGAGGGAGGGAGAATGGAAGAAGTGAATGTGTTCAGATATTTGGGAGTAGATTTGTCAGCAGATAGGTTTGTGAAGGATGAGGTTAACCATAGAAATGATGAAGGAATAAGGGTGGGTGGTGCATTGAGGTATCTGTGGAGACAAAATAAATGTTAAATGGAGGCAAAGAAGGGAATGTATGAGAGTATGGTGGTACCAACAGTCTTGTATGTGTGTGAAGCATGGGTTGTATGTGCTGCAGCAAGAAGGAGACTGGAGGCAGTAAAGATGTCATGTCTAAGGGCAATATGTGGTCTAAATATTATGCAGAGAATTCATAGTGTGGAAATTAGGAGGAGGTGTGGAGTTACTAAAAGTATTATTCAGAGGGCTGAGGAGGGGTTGTTGAGGTGGTTTGGTCATTTAGAGAGGATGGATGAAAATAGGATGACTTGGAGGATGTATAAATCTGTAGTGGAGGGGAGGAGGGGTAGAGTCATCCTAGGAAAGGATGGAGGGAGGGGGTAAAAGATGTTTTGTGTGCAAGGGGCTTGGACATTCAGCAGGCATATGTGAGCATGTTAAATAGGAGTGAATCCAGAGGAATGGTTTTTAGGACCTGACAAGCTGTTGGAGTATGAGCAGGGTACTATTTTGTGAAGGGATTCAAGAAACCAGTTAGCCGGACTTGAGTCCTGGAGGTAGGAAATAGAGTGCCTGTACTTTAAAAGGAGGGGTTTGGGTTATTGGCTATTTGGAGTGAGTGACATCTGAACTGTTGTATCTGGGTGCCTCTGCAAAGACAGTGACTAAGTTTGAATGATGGTGAAAGTGTTTTTCTTGTTTTGGTCACCCTACCTCAGTGGGAGACAGCTGACATGGTAAAAAAAAAAGAAATTAGTTATCTTGATAGCACAAAAAGGACATTATGAATATTTAACCTAGAATAAAAAACTTTGACTTATTAAACTTGTTAATGAGTGTCTAAACCTCACCATAACCATCTAGGCCTAGTAGGACAACATGACTCCTGTATACATCTATAATGTCAAATACAGTAATTTATTAATTTTAACAAATTAAGAATTGAGAAAAGTTGCTTGGTTTTTATGAAGGTGTCAGGGAATGTAGCCCAATTTTTCCTGTAAGCTGTTCACTCCACCTCGCTCGTCTTTTCAAGTATAACTCTAATTTCAGGAACATAACCCTCATGAAAGGTAGGGTGGGGCTACTGTATTGTATTTTCATTGAATGTCAAGTTCTAATAATAGTCAACAAATATCCGCTAATTGTATGCAGCATGCAAGTAGGGATGTATTTTTCTCTTCACAAAAGATTCGTAGTAGACTTTTGTTTAACTGCCTCGCCTCATTTAAGACCATTTGATAATATTCATTTTTGTGATGAATGGTTTGAAAAACCGACAAGTTGAAGATTGAGACACTTATGCAGCATATGGGAATCTTTATTCAGGAAACGTTTCGCCACACAGTGGCTTCATCAGTCCAATACAAAGAGGAAGGCGTAAGGAGAGGAGGAGAATGAGGTAATCAGTCCCTCAACCTGGAGTCGATGTGTTCAGTCCATCAATCTTGTAGAATGTACAGCATAGGGCCGTAGACGTGGCTTATATACTGTAGTGAGGTGACGTGAAGCAGATGGAGGCGGGGTCATAGTGGTACCATCCACTAGTCGAAGTAGGTCTTCGTCCAAAGGTTGAACAAGTGTTGAAGAATTCTATGTAACAAGATCCCATGATGCTGCAGTGTCTGACAGTTGTGATGAATGGTTTGAAAAACCGATAAGTTGAAGATTGAGACACTTATGCAGCATATGGGAATCTTTATTCAGGAAACGTTTCGCCACACAGTGGCTTCATCAGTCCAATACAAAGAGGAAGGCGTAAGGAGAGGAGGAGAATGAGGTAATCAGTCCCTCAACCTGGAGTCGATGTGTTCAGTCTTCAACACTTGTTCAACCTTTGGACGAAGACCTACTTCGACTAGTGGATGGTACCACTATGATCCCGCCTCCATCTGCTTCACGTCACCTCACTACAGTATATAAGCCACGTCTACGGCCCTATGCTGTACATTCTACAAGATTGATGGACTGAACACATCGACTCCAGGTTGAGGGACTGATTACCTCATTCTCCTCCTCTCCTTACGCCTTCCTCTTTGTATTGGACTGATGAAGCCACTGTGTGGCGAAACGTTTCCTGAATAAAGATTTCCATATGCTGCATAAGTGTCTCAATCTTCAACTTGTCGGTTTTTCAAACCATTCATCACAACTGTCGGACACTGCAGCATCATGGGATCTTGTTACAAAGAATTCTTCAACACTTGTTCAACCTTTGGACGAAGACCTACTTCGACTAGTGGATGGTACCACTATGATCCCGCCTCCATCTGCTTCACGTCACCTCACTACAGTATATAAGCCACGTCTACGGCCCTATGCTGTACATTCTACAAGATTGATGGACTGAACACATCGACTCCAGGTTGAGGGACTGATTACCTCATTCTCCTCCTCTCCTTACGCCTTCCTCTTTGTATTGGACTGATGAAGCCACTGTGTGGCGAAACGTTTCCTGAATAAAGATTCCCATATGCTGCATAAGTGTCTCAATCTTCAATATTCATTTTTACAGATAGGTGATGGATACTGTACTGATCATTTATCTTGAACTACTTTTGGTATATGTATGCACATAGTGTAGTATTTTAGTTAAAAAAAAATTTTACCACCTTCATAGCATTCAGTATTGTGTAAAATGTAATTGTGTGTGTGTTTTTTGTGTGAAATAGAAAACTAAATAATATTTCTCTCCAGTTTCCAAAGGATCACCCATGGCAGTTGAAGCACTAGCAGGGTTAGCATCTCGGGAGAACTTCTCAGCCGTGGCACTGAAGAAAGTTGAAAGCACACCAGTAATTCGGGAGATGGCCCCTTACACCGCATTAATGCTTTTGCAAGTCAAGGGCCGGCGTCATGCTCAGACAAGATTGGTTGAACCCATAGTCTCTAGTGTGAACCAGGGAGATGACTTCATTCTAATAACACCCACAGATGTAAGTGATATAGAGCTTATTTTTCTCCATTTATGCAGGCTAGTACAGTACTGTAATTCATTGCTAAAATGATGAGTATAGCTTACATACTATATACAGTATACAAATTTTATTTACAAGGGAGTCTCTTTAGATAATATTTAATAGTTAAGGAATTTTCTTACTAAACAAGTTGTGCAGTGTTTTAATATACTGGTAGTTTAACTACAATTAGAAAAATTACAAATACAGTGGACCCTCAGTTTTGGTGTTGAATCCGTTCCAGAACCATCAGCCAAAACCGAAGCCATTTTCCCAATAAGAAATAATGTAAATGAAATTTATCCATTCCAGACACCCAGAAGTATCAACAACAAATTTTTTTTTACCTTAAAGATAGATTTACATGCACAAAAGAATGAACATTACACTTGACACTTACCTTTACTGAAGGCTGTTGTTGATGGATGGAAGACAGGGAGGAGGAGAGAGGGAAGAGAGGTTATTGTTTGGAAGGGATATCCCCCTCCATAAGGACTCTAGTTACCAAGTCATTATCTACAGTCACTTTCCTAGCTTAAATATATATTTACATGCAGAAAAGAATGACAAATAAATATAAAGCACTAATAAAATGTATAAATGAACATTTAACATCACACTTACCTTTATTGAAAAGACTTGTTGGTGTATGGCAGACTGGGCAGAGAGGGAGAGGGAGGCAAGTTTGTTGTTGGAGAATATGGCACTAATATCAACTCTACGGCTTATTTATCTCTCAGAATTCAACTAATATGACATAATAAACAATATTAATAACATAGAAACATGATATATACTCTAGAATGAATAAAATAAGTCATTATGTATGTAACGGCAGGTGTTCTGTTGTTGTTGGTTGTATAAAAGCCACTGTGAGCATAAGCTGTACGTAATGTTGGTGATGGCTGCAGCTGAGGTGGCGTTTTCTGTAGCCATGTATAACTCCAACAACATTGGAGGAGATAGTAGAATCACTGAATCACCGAAGGCGACCTCTCCCACCATCACAACCACTACCACCATCACAACCACTACCACCTACTACCACCATCACTACCACCCTCTACCACCATCACAACCACTACCCTCTACCACCATCACTACCACCACCACTTTCGTATTTTTCTACAAGCTTTTTCTTGAATTATATCGGGTTTCTCACATTCTTTACCAAGGGCTGGCACTAGAAGCTTTCTTGGGCCCATGGTGGCTTATTTAGCAGTCAGATACAATAAACAAGCGGCAAAAACAATGGATTATTACAAAATGTTTGATATGACCTGGCAGGATATGTTCACTCACTGAAAAAAAATGCTACACTGGCTGTGAATGGTGTGGGAGGAGACTTTGTCTGTGTGCTGGGCACTGGACAGGTTCCGTATGATCGACGAAAACGGAGGTAATCAACAAAAATGGAGCCAAAAAAATAGATGAAAAAACTCGGCCAAAGCCGAAATCGGCAATAATGTAGATCGATGAAAATGGAGGGTCCACTGTAGTTACCATATTTTCCATCAGTAAGATACAGTGCCAAGTGAGTGTAAAAGGGAAGCCTGTAATTGTTTTACATGATGGTAGGATTGCTGATGTCTTTTCTTGTCTCATAAACATGCAAGGTTTCAGGTACATCTTCCTCTTGCTCAGTACACTTAGGTCATACTACACATGCATGTACAAGAATATATATTCACACCCCTCTTGGTTTTCTTCTGTTTTTTTACTAGTTCTTGTTCTTGTTTATTTCCTCTTATCTCTGTGGGGAAGTGGAACAGAATTTTTCCTCCGTGAGCCATGTGTGTTGTAAGAGGCAACTAAAATGCCGGGAGGAAGGGGCTAGTAGCCCCTTCTCCTGTATATATTACCGAGTTTAAAAAGAGAAACTTCAGTTTTCTTTTTAGGTTACCCTGCCTAGGTGGGATACGGCCTGGTCATTGAAAAAAAAGAAAAACGCCGTGTCTTATATGGCCCATATAATTGAGTAGCAGGAAGATGCATGTATTGCAATGTTCACTATAGTCTTCCCCCCAAAAATCAAACTTAAGATGGGTTCAGTGTAAAGGTATAGATTATGTGACTGAAGAAAGTGTAATTACAGCCAACACTGGAATTAGAGAGTGGATTATGTATATCAGTATGATTAGGACTGATATAATGATGGCACAAAAGAAATAGAACAGCCGGAAGATAGTTTAGATATGATTATTGAAACTATATATTATTATGACCACCTCTTTGAAGGAGGTAAGTGTTCATAATTTTATCATATATTAGGTGTTTTATAAGCATAAGCATACTACAGTACATTAAATATTGAATTCCAAACATTATTTATTCAGAGCAATAGTGAATTAAGGGAAGTGAGATAATCAGCTTAAAGACATTTGTTGTACTGTGCAAAACTTTACACAGCAAGAGTTCATTTATATAGATGTTTTAAACTATTCATTGCTATTTTATACAGGTACTGCATAAAATAGCTGTATTTTATACAAGTGTATTGTATAAAATAGCTGTATAGTAGTACCATGTACATTTGAATCTAACACTTGTAAATAATCTTAAAAAAAATTTAGAAGTTTGTTTTATGGTATTTATTTGTACAGAAGTCTCATATTAATCATGAAACTTTAATTTTGTTTAATGTGACACTTCAAATTTTATTTTTTTTCTCTCTCCTTACAGGTATATCACTATAAGGGAGAGTTTGCCAATGTTATTGAAAGAGCAAAAGCTTCTGAGATTGCTCAGTATATTTTGCAGAAGAAAGATATGGGCGTTGTTTCTGCTAAGAATCTAATGGAAATCGATGAAAATTCTCCAAGTGGAAAAAAATCAAAATTCTGGGAATTACTTGGTTAGTAAAAACTGTAACACTGTGTGAATGCTTTTATATTTATTTTGTTAAAAGTTGCAAAGGCTGTCTTTCCTTAATTGTTGAGAGTGAGCTCATGGTCTGGCCTCTCAACTTTTGATCTTCTAACATCTTCGTTTACTTTCATTGTCTAGTTCCTTCTACTTGACATATATATTGTTGAAAAAGTGTTTTTGGATATCCCTCTAATTACCTTATTGAGTTTACAAGAAGTGAATTCTAGCTTTTGGTCTTATTATGAACTTTTCAACCTATTCACATGGAATACCCTGTTATATCAAAAAGAAATCTACTTCCACTGTCATTGGTAATTTCATTCCTCTTCTTTTCCACTCTTTTTGTTAAAGAAATATTTTCTGATATCCCAGTGACTCATTCAGATGTGTAATTTCTGACCATGCACATTTATTATTAGCACTGGACAAGCCTGGCCCTGGGAGTAGAAAGACTCTCAAAACTTATCATTGGTATATCAAAGTTTTTTTTTTTTCAACAAACCGGCCGTATCCCACCGAGGCAGGGTGGCCCAAAAAGAAAAACGAAAGTTTCTCTTTTTTAAATTTAGTAATTTATACAAGAGAAGGGGTTATTAGCCCCTTACTCCCGGCATTTTAGTCGCCTCTTACAACACGCATGGCTTACGGAGGAAGAATTCTGTTCCACTTCCCCATGGAGATAAGAGGAAATAAACAAGAACAAGAACTAGAAAGAAAATAGAAGAAAACCCAGAGGAGTGTGTGTATATATATACTTGTGTAGTGTGACCTAAGTGTAAGTTGAAGTAGCAAGACATACCTGAAATCTTGCATGTTTATGAGACAGACAAAAGACACCAGCAATCCTACCATCATGTACAACAATTATTGGCTTATGCTTTACTAACTTGGCAGGACAGTAGTACCTCCCTGGGTGGTTGGTGTCTACCAACGTACTACATTATTATTAGTATTATTATTACTAACATAACTTGTACAGACCACACTCCTCAGTATGCTCACAGTAGAATGTTATTCTTTCCTATAATTTCACAATTTATTTTTCACTTTTACTGTATCCTACCATGAGTCTTTGGTAAAATAATTAGCCTGTAAAATACTTCTGAGTAAATGTAAAGCACCCTGCAAATGATCCTTGCAATTTTAGCACTTTCCATGAATATAATTATTTTTTTTTGTCCAAAACACTACACACAGTATGACTTCAGGTGGAATCCATAAAGATTCCTGCATAACTAGAAAGTGTGTAGGCTGAAGGCTAACCCAAACATAGTATAAAACATCACAGGAGAGAGCGGAAAGGAGAAGGCAAAAAGTAGTGTATCTTGCCATATCTTACACTTTAAAATCAGTGTTTTTACAAAGCCTGCCTGTTCCTCAGCTAGCAGCAGTAGATGATCTTTGTAAAAAAAATTTACTGTACACTTTGCCATTTGCTAATGGAAAGACTACCTTGGGACCCAATCACATTTGTTTTATTCTCAGGTGGTGATGAAACGAGTGAAGGCGTACCAGGGGGCATGCCTGATGAGGATGAATATGTGGAGGCAGCACTTGTGGCAGTGAACAAGGTGTATGAAGTTCACGATGACTCACTTGTGCCTGTTACTGATTCCTGGGGTCAGATGCCAAAAATAGAAATACTTGTATCTGATAAGGTGGGTATTTTTTTATTTATTCTGATTTGTACTTCAAAAGATTTTATATAATGATTTAGTATTGTAAAAGTAATTTGTACCCCCTCACTTTTAGATAGATGTGTTCCAGGCCCATAGTTCATAAAGCAAATAATATAACTTGTAAAATGTAAGGATATATTCAGAGTGTGACTTTGTAAATGGTCCAAGTCTGACCAAAACGTCGTTGTAAGCTCCTCTTTTATGTGCGGGTCATTTGTGTATACATTCAGAGACTTTGCAGGATACATTCAGAGACGTTGCAGATCCCACATTTCTTGAGCTTACCATGTATAATCAGATACAAAAACAAGTAATGAACTTAGTCTAAAAACAACTGAAGAAAAATATAATCCAAAAATTCACACATAATCCTCAATAATTAACAAAGTATAGGTATAATGCCGATTTACTGGCAACAGATCGTCCGGCACCTCTTTTAGTCCAGACAAAATTACAAGACTACTTTTTTACCCATATAGTTTACTGGGCAACCATAGATGGTGTTATGTGAAATGTGTGTTGACTTGCATTGTTTAGACTGTAGTTATTGTTGGTGATCCTTGATTTTTTTTTTTTTTTAATATATTTTGCTAACAACCTTTGTGATTAATTCTATAGTTCCAGCAAAATTTTAAAGTTTACCACTTGGTAGTGGTGGTAGTACTGCAACATTCTTTGTAAGTGCAGCAATATATAAACCTGTGCTTAAGCTTTTACTCTTGATTTCTGTGCAGGTACTAGTGTTTGATTTTGGCTCAGAGTTGTACATATGGGCGGGTAAGCGTGCCTGTGGTGATGAGCGTAAAGTTGGTCTTGCGTTAGGTCGGGAGTTATGGGAAGAGCCGTACGATTACTCTGAGTGTGACATCAACCCCATCATGCCTATGACCCCAGTATCAAAGGCAAAGATGAAAGGTTAATTCTTCAATCCTATATTTGTTAGTTCCGAACATAAGTTCTTGAGTATAAAACTGACCTTTTTTTACTTTTTCAACCTTTTTTTTTTTTCCATGCTTATCATGAATAATGAATTACAGTACATATATTCTATGAGACCTGTTGACTGAATATAGTTATGCCATATTTTAATAATCCTAGGTTCTCGGCCAGAATGGGGCCTGTGTGCCAAACTTACAGAAAATGTAGAAACTATCCTTTTCAAAGAAAAGTTCATCGACTGGCCTGATCTAGCACAACAGTCGAGGATAAAGGTATGTATATAGTATGAAGAATTATATAATACAGTATGCATAGAATAAGGCACTCGCAACACTTGGGTACCTTTATTGATGAAATGTTTATTGCACAAGAACCTTTTTTAATCGAATGTTAGTGAATGTAACAGTGGAGATGGTGGTAGCAGTAGTAGTTCCTTGATCATTCTGTCATCCTTGGTCAGACATGATCAGTCCCTCAAACCTCAGGCTTCAGAGACTGACACTGATCATATCAACAACTATTATTACTTTTACAATAACTATTACAGCATACATTACTGCAACAACTATTACTACAACTGCTGTTACAACAATAATTACTATAACTATTACTACAGTAACAAGTACTACTAAAATAAAACTACAGTCTCTCCTCACTTAGCGACATACTTGTTTACTGACAACTCGAACTTACGACGGGCTCTCGGACCATTATGCACACCTAAATAATGTATACTAGAGCTGATTTCCTCTATACTGTTTATTACAATATGCAGTACACTACTGTACAAACATTTAAAAATATACCAGCAGGGTTGTAAATGGTGCGGACATCACATTAAAACAACATAAAAAATGGTTGACACAACCCACTACCATTATAGTATGCTCCTCACTTAGTGACAAATTCGTTTACCAACATGGTCTTAGGAACAGAACTCCATCATTAAATGAGGAGAGCCTGTATTATTATGACAATATTATTACAACAGTATTACTGCAGTTACAACTGTTACTATGACTGTTACTACTTTTTATTACTAATAACAAAGATACCCAAGTGTTGCACATCTTATTCTTCAACTAAACAGTATTGTATATCATTAATAATATGATGCAGTAGGCATAAATGTGGCAAAATATATTTAAAACATTGCCATAATATTAATATTGAAGTGTTTGTCTTATCCACAAATTAATTTACTTAATGCTACTTAGTTGTATCTTTTGTGCAGAATTACTTTCTCTCTTGAATTTATACTTCATATTTTAACAATAATTAATTGATAATTTCTTTGTTGTTGCCCCAGGAGGTGAAGAAGGACCTTAATCGTCATGTAGCTCCTGTAAGTGAGCTACAGCCTTGTGATGCCAAAGTGTTGTTAGAAGACTTACCACCTGAACCTGACCTGGTGCTGGAAATGAGTCACTTGGGTCGCGGAGTGGAATACTACGATGAGGAGGTGCGCTAGTAGAGATGGCGGCTCATGTAGCAGATTGATTACACACCATTCTGCTTAGTTCTCCTTCTTGTTCTTTGTGTACTCTGCACATCATTTTCATGTATTGACTCTATCAGTGATTTCCTATTTGCAGTTTTTACGGACTTCTCTATGCACACTTTGAAGACCTTCCTGTGCCTTGCTGATTTTGGCTTAGTCTCATGCCCACTGTTGAACAGTGGTTTGTAGTGTCTTCATCAGCTGCTGCTAGTCAGTGGCCATCTGCCTGTAGATAGCAAGAGACGCCTTCCAAACCACCGTGTAGCTGTAGTGTATATGTATGGGCCAACACCATTCTATTTTCTCCATGGTGTATCTTGCTCCTGAGAGCAAGGCTTAACCTGTGCTGACCACACGTGACTCTCCGAAACCCTAGACAGCATTCCTAGGTTCCGTGTGTTGATAATGATTGCTCTTCACATATCCTTCCCCAGTTTTCCTTCTACAGTCCTCCAACTGGTGACCTGTGCTTGGGTGCCTTGTAGAAATTTGTAGTCTTCTTTTTTATTATTATTTTACCTCTAAGTGTCACTTTTTCTAAAGTTTTATGTGTATTTTGTTTGTGACTCTTCAGTATGCACCTACTCTTACTGTTTGTTTTCTCTAGTCTTATTATTTCTTTATATCCTGTTTACAACTTAATACATATCCAACTTTTAACAGATAAAGCTCATTAATTCTTTTAATCATTAGTTTTTGCTTGTTTATGCAGCACTCACATTGAAGAATATTATTTTTATTTTTTGGCATACTAATTATTTTTACTGATTATATTAGTTTTTTGTGTGCGTGTGTGTTTGTGTGTGTGTGTGTATATACTATTCCAAGTGACCTTGAATGTTTGCCCCTGATATCCTGGCTAACCATCCCTTACTCCCCTCCCTATTTCCTCCAACACTCACCTGGGTCGCCTCACTCTGCTGCTGGTAACAACGCTGACTGCATCAACAATCCAATGTTGCTAACTTCATGCTGGCAAACATCCTACTATCTTCATATATCACTACCAATGGGCGGAACTTTTAACCTCAACTTTATGGACCTTTAAAAATGTGTGCGAACTGCTTTCACAACTTCAGGAGAGACGACTCTTGAGCATTTCTACGAATGATTACAAGGTCTGGCATGTGTCAGAATACGGCAAAATTTTGATGGCTGCAGAATCCCGCAATCACCTACATGCTGGTGATACATATGTTGTACGATGGTACTACCTAATCACGGCAACTGGCAGAACTCTCAAGGTTGGTGACTTTCCTGTTTATTAGTTTAATGAAGATATTTTTAGAGGCTAAATATACTTAATTTTAATTATGTTTAGGAAATGACCACAATTAACTGTAATATTAATAATGAGAAATAGATTTATAGGCTTACACTAAATGATTGCTACTTCCTATATAGGTACTGTACTAGTCAGCCACTTCCTGACCACTCTGAGACTGAGGAAATACTTTCAAACATCCCTCAGGTGTCCCTGAGTTCTTGTTTCTTACCTCTCAAACAAACTATCCCTGTCTTCCATTTCATTTCTCCCTAAGAATTTTGTATATGTTGTCCCTCATTCTTTTATTCTCTCCGCTTTTAGGTCCTAGATAGTTAGCCTCTCCTCGTAACTCAGGAACAAGCCTTGGTGCAAACTTCTGCACTTTCTCCAGTTTCTTAACATGTCTTTTCAGGTGCAGGTTACATACTGGTGCTGTATACTCCAGGATGGGTCTAATGTATGTTGTATAAAGGGCCCAGAGTGATTTTTTGTTGAGATTCCTGAGGGCTACTTTTAGATTTGCCAGACAAGTATTGGCTGGAGAATTTATTTGGCTGATGTGATCCTTGGCATTGTACTGGGCAGTGTGCTCACCCCTAGGTCTTTCTCTTTGAGTAAAGTATGCACTTATCCCTCTAGTTTATTTCCCATTTCCAGTCTTCCTGCTCCTTCCCCAGTCTTCATTTACAGGGATTGAATTGAAGGAACCACTAATGTAATTTTTCCTGATCCCTTTGAAACCTTTTCTTGTCCTCATTTGTTTTTATTCTCCTCGTTAGTTTTACATCAGCCACAGGTATTTATCTAACTCGGGCCCTACCTTTGTGGGTATGACTGATGTAAAAATAAAATAGAATAAGTCACTACAACACTTGCTTGCACTGTGGAGCAGGATTTTGTAGGAAGAAAGGGATCTGCCTAAGCAAACACAAACAGGTGAGAGAGTAGGATTCTTGCAATAGTATAGCAAAATTTAATTTCTACAGGTATTGTATTCATTTTTATGTATATTCTTGTGAAAGTAATTTGAAGAATTTATTTTACAGGGTGAACCATCCAAGCATAATGTGACGGGTAGGTCACGAGTGGCATACTTCTTCTGGCAGGGGCGCGAAAGCTCTGTGTCAGATAAAGGTGTCTCAGCTCTCATGACGGTAGAATTAGATGAAGAACGTGGCCCTCACATTCGTGTGTCTATGGGTATGGAACCACCAGCATTTCTCAATCTGTTTCAAGGTGGACTTGTAATACATCAAGGACGCAGAGATGATGATCATGTACATAAGCCTTGGAAATTATTTGTTGTTCGTGGAGAGCTGGAGAATGAAGGGCACTTGATCGAGGTGGAAGTAAGCTCAACACAATTAAGGTCCCGAGGTTGCCTTATCTTAGCCAATATGCAAACAGGTGTTATCCATTTATGGCATGGTGCCAAAGCTTTGAAACACACTCGCAAGGTGATTTATTAAGTATTTGTGTGATATTTTCATTGATATATAATGTAAATGTGTGTAAATATCTTGCATATAAATATATATACAGGTACACACCAGTTTTTTGGCACCCTTGAATGCTAAGTGTGCTGCACACTTTGTCCAACTTGAATATGTACTGTATGTTTTTACTTTTACAAAATGTGAAAAAGACTTGGCACTCATGCTAAACAGAAATCTTAAGCAAAGACTGCAGTTTGAGTTCTTCATTAACAATGTTGAGAAAATTCAAATTAGGGTGGGAGATGACAAAAGTTGTCTCGGGATATTTGTCAGCATAGTTGCTGATCCCCTGGCATGATAAGGAATACTAGTAATGCTCGAGGTGCTAAGAAAAGGAATTAGCATTAAAATCACTGCTTTTGAAAAATGAGGAAACTGTGTGGTGAATTTATAATAGTCCCTCTCTCGAAGAAAAATAACTGGTAACTGCATCAAACACACTTCCCTAAAGTTTACTTCGGTAAGGTTATTTAATGTTTTTTATTTAGCACCCTTTCATAATTTCATCTGGACTAGAGGTGAGAGACGATCCGTTGCCGAAAAATCGGTGTTGTACCTGTATTATTAATTAAAAAATAGCAGTGAAATATTAATAGAACATAAAATGAATACCCAAGTGCTTTCATGCACTTACATGTGCATCTTCAGAGGAACTAGTTCCTTGGTAGCACTTAATCTTTTCTGATTTGTTAATGTATCCCTCATGTTATGTGTATGCAGTCAGGAAATTTTTAGTGATTTCTTATTGTATTTTTTTGTATATTGTACAGTATTCAACAAATATTCTGTACTAGCTACTGAAGTATGATGTTCTTCATGGCAGGTTGGCAGCACATCAGCTCAAAAACTCTCTGAAACCTCAGACATTGAAATGGGGTGGAAGGAAAGTGTCACAAAAAATATCAAGGAACAATACGAGGGAGCTGAAACACGAGATTTTTGGGAAGGTTTTGGAGGCTCATCTTTCAAACATAAACATTTTTCGCTCTTAGATGATGATCATTCTTATGACTGGACTCCACGTGTATGGCATTTAGAAGCCACTCATGACTCTTTCCAAGCCACAGAAGTGATATGTAGTTACCGGACCACTTCCTTGCCCAACCCATTACCTGTCTTGCAGCTAGACTTGTATTCTGTACCTCAGCCAGGTAAGATGTAGTTTAGTAGCATTCAGTAATACTTCATTGACCAAATAATTTTACTATTCAGCACTTGCACATCACTGTAGTAAAACTAAAGGATGCACTCTTTAAAATTCCAGCATTGCTGTGCTTATGTTTTTGGAAGTGTTATATTTAGTTCAGATGCATGCATATGCACACACAAATATTTTTCCTGAGGCAGTCACAGTGGTCAATTTTTGTTTTTGTTTTCTGCATTTTGCTATAGCACTGTTTTTGGTGGATGGTGGTCACCGAGTGTGGGTGTGGCAAGGATGGTGGCCTGATGAGACTTCAGAAGGGGAGGACTTCAGTGCAACTGGTTCTGCTGTGCTGCGCTTCAACTTTGCTCGCCGAGCTGCCTTACAAACAGCACTCAATTACTGCAAACTTAAGGCTAAAACCCAAGCCAAGGCCTTGGCAGCAAAAAGTTATAAAAAGGTAGGTTGCCATTCAAACTTGCAAATCATTTTAGTCACTTATGGTAGTATAACCTTCATTTGTGATTTTCTTGTTGAATTCACATAGCACTACCCTGACACATCCCAAAATATTGAATTGCTGTCAAAATGGGTGTTTTCCTTACTATTTTACTCTTTTATTTTTTATGCCCTTTAAAATATTGGCATAATCCTTAATTTGTTTTCCATTTGTGTATACATGCTAAAGTGGTCTTACTTTTTTCACATGCTTACGAAGCAGGTAATTTCTGTAAGAAAAAATAAACCTTTGTAGTTGTGCATTTGTTTAACAATTACAATGAAGAAAATCTTGGATCTAACACATTGCAAGGTGTATACATGTTGTTTTGCTCATTATTTTTTCATTTCCTGGTATAAAAATCCATATTTAGTGTAGTATTGGCTAGTAATGCTTTGAAAATGAAAGTTTAATTATATAACTGAAGCTTCGAAGGTGTGGAGTATAGAGCTTGAACTGAAGGATGGGTGTGGTTATTGTTGCTACTTTATAAGAGCTATAACTACTTGTGCAATATAAAACCAGCTCCCAGAAATCTGGTGAATGTATTGCCCAAATCTGGGCAGGTAATTGAGAGGAAACAAAGTTTGCTCAAAAAAAAAAAATAAATAAATAAAATGGAAACAGTATGCTCCCAGTTAAGTCAGGTGGACATCTTTGTCTAAAACTCGGCGAAGCCAGATGCCTCTACCTGAGAGAACGATGACAGGCTTTTCCCAAGACAGAGCTGAAGTGTGGTGCCCTGACCATTTGCCAAGCTGTCTATGATGAGGACAAGGGTCATGGGAATAAAAGGGGGGGGATGTCAAGGCAGGGGTAGAGCAAGACATTCACCATACTCCATGAAGGATGGCACAGATGCCAGATGAGTGTGATGATGTGATTCTGGAGGTGGGAAGTTCAAGGCCTGCACTAAAGGGTGGGTGAGAATGCAGTCTTGGTGTGAAGTATAGTATCGTACTCAGAAGGGTGGTTGGGGATGATGTGATTCTGGAGGTGGGCAGTACAGGGCTGCACTTGGAAAGATAAGCAGAGGAGATCTAAAAGGTATGTAGTAGTTATAGAAGGGTGTTTGTAGGTGGGAAATGATGGATGAAATGTGGCCAAGAGGGTGATAAGGAAGAAGTTAGCATAAGAGAGGCTTTCACAATATAAAAAAAAAATATATACAAAAGGAGAGGAAAGTTCTTAATGGGCCATAGCCATTTATGAAGGCTGAAGCAGACTAGGATGGCGAAGGGGGCATATAAATCTAGGGTGGAGGAAAGGAGGCATAGGAGTCATCCCAGGAAGAATTGGATGGAAAGGGTGATGTTCTAAGTGATATAGGCTTGAGCCATCTATCAGTGTGTACTGCGCTGTATGATCCTTGTAAGTTGAGCGATTCTTTTTTATTATAATAGTAGAAAGCCTAGGGAAAGTATGGATTTGTCAGTTAAAAACAGAGTAGGGGAGTTAGTAGATGGGGAGATGGAGGTATTAGGTAGATGGCGAGAATATTTTGAGGAACTTTTAAATGTTGAGGAAGAAAGAGAGGCGGTAATTTCATGCACTGGTCAGGGAGGTATACCATCTTTTAGGAGTGAAGAAGAGCAGAATGTAAGTGTGGGGGAGGTACGTGAGGCATTATGTAGAATGAAAGGGGGTAAAGCAGCTGGAACTGTTGGGATCATGACAGAAATGTTAAAAGCAGTGGGGGATATAGTGTTGGAGTGGTTTGTACTTTTGTTTAATAAATGTATGAAAGAGGGGAAGGTACCTAGGGATTGGCAGAGAGCATGTATAATCCCTTCATATAAAGGGAAAGGGGGCAAAAGAGATTGTAAAAATTATAGAGGAATAAGTTTACTGAGTATACCAGGACAAGTGTACAGTAGGGTTATAATTGAAAGAATTAGAGGCAAGACAGAATGTAGGATTTCGGATGAGCAAGGAGGTTTCAGAGTGGGTAGGGGATGTGTAGATCAAGTGTTTACATTGAAGCATATATGTGAACAGTATTTAGATAAAGGTAGGGAAGTGAATGGAGTGAATGATGGTGAAAGTTTTTCTTTTTCGGGCCACCCTGCCTTGGTGGGAATCGGCTAGTGTTTAAAAAAAAAAAAAAAATATAGGTAGTAGGCTGGTAGACAGCAACCACCCAGGGAGCTACTACCGTCCTGCCAAGTGAGTGTAAAATGAAAGCCTGTAATTGTTTTACGTGATGGTAGGATTGCTGGTGTCCATTTTTCTGTCTCATGAACATGTAAGGTTTCAGGTACGTCTTGTTACTTCTACTTACACTTAGGTCACACTACACATACATGTACAAGCATATATATACACACCCCTCTGGGTTTTCTTCTGTTTTCTTACTAGTTCTTGTTCTTGTTTATTTCCTCTTATCTCCATGGGGAAGTGGAACAGAATTCTCCCTCCGTAAGCCATGAGTGTTGTAAGAGGCGACTAAAATGCCATGAGCAAGAGTCTAGTAACCCCTTCTCCTGTATAAATGACTAAATTTAAAAAGAGAAACTTTCGTTTTTCTTTTTGGGCCACCCTGCCTTGGTGGGATACGGCTGGTTTGTTGAAAAAAAAAATATATATATACAGGGGACCCTCGACTAACGCTATTAATCCGTTCCTGAGGGCTCATCGTTAGTCAAAATTATCGTTAGTCAAGTTAATTTTCCCAATAAGATATAATGGAAATCAAATTAATCCGTGTAGGACACCCTAAAGTATGAAAAAAAAATTGTTTTTACCACATGAAATATTAATTTTAATACACATAAACTGAAGAAGACATGCACAGTTACATGACACTTACCTTTATTGAAGATCAGGTGATGATTGATGGGATGGGAGGAGGGGAGAGTGTTGATGGTCTTAGTGTTTAGAAGGGGAATCCCCTTCCATTAGGACTTGAGGTGGCAAGTCCTATTCCGGGGTTACTTCCCTTCCCTTTAAATCTCTCAAACTAACCTTTGCTGGCCTTAAATTCACTCACATCACCACTAGTTGCTGGCATTTTTTTAATTAAATTGTCATGCAACTTCCTAGCCTTTTCACATATGATCGCTTGAGAGATGCTATCTCCTGCTATCTGTTTTTCGTTTATCCACACCAATAACAGTCTCTCAACATCTTGGAGTACTTGCGATCTCGGTTTCAAAAACTTAGTTGCACCTTTGGCAAGAAAAGCTTCCTTGATTGCCGTTTTCTTGCCGTCAATAGTAGCGATGGTTGATTGGGGTTTTGTGTACAACCTGGCCAGCTCGGAGACATGCACTCCACTTTCATACTTAGCAATGATCTCTTTCTTCATATCCATAGTAATTCTCACCCTTTTTGCTGTAGGGTTGGCACTAGAAGCTTTCTTGGGGCCCATGGTGACTTATTTTGCAGGTGCAGTCACTAAAAAGGCTGTGATAATATGAAATGTTCCGATTGTATGCTTGGAAGCGACCGCGGTGGCTGGCTGGCTTGTAAACACTGGCCAGAAGTGGACGCATCTCAGACGGAACGAATAGTGTTGGTCGAGTTTTTTAGCGCTAGTCGAGGCAAAATTTTTGCGTTAAAATGTATCGCTAGTCAGATTTATCGTTAATCGATGCCATCGTTGGTCGAGGGTCCACTGTATATATATATATATATATATAAGTGTGTTAGGACAGAATGATTGGAGACCAATGGTTTTTAGGGTTTTGACCTGCTGTTGTAGTGTGAGCAAGGTAACATTCATGAAAGGGTTGAAGGAATTCAGTTACCAGGAGTTAAATCCTGGAAGTGGAAAGTACAGCACCTGCAGTTTGAAGGATGGGTGTGAATGTTGCTTTTTGGATGATGATTTGAATTGTAATGTCCACACTTGACAAGACATCTATTAATTAAATGAATGATGAATGTCTGTGTCCTTTATTTTTAGGCCAACCTCCTAATTGGAGAACATCTGATATGGCAAAAAAAAAAAAAAAAAAGTGTTGCACATTATATCTTTTTTTTAAATCATCTATTTCTGGTATAATATTGTATTCCTCTAGTTCATTTATTTCTTCTTTGATCAGCAGCTATTCTTTTTATTCTTGACAAGTTTTCACTCATTACTATTACTTCATCATTTAATCTTGCAAAGCCATTCATGTTTAGCTTGTAAAATACTGTTGTGTATTTAGCATAACACTCATCCTGAATTTCACCTTCAGGTTGAAGTTGAGGTTCAAGTGGTGAAGCCCCAGCTTGTGGTTGCAGGGATGGAACCATTAGAATTTACCAATACGTTTCCAACCTGGACACTCAGACCAGACGTCACTGCTGTCCAAGAGAAGGTGATTTTATAAGTAGATTGATTTACACGCATGTTTTTATTTTGAATTCGAAATATATTTCATATTCAGTAAAAGTTTATAGTTTTACTTTGCAGTTGAAATTCGTGCACTTTTCTTGTTTAAAGTAGCCAGGTTGTGTGTTCTTATTGGGTGTAAATTGTTTAGGAAAAAGAATATAGGAAAGAATATTTTAGGGGCATATAACAGAGAGAAGAAAGGAAGACAATGGTTATAATGAATTTGAATTAACTTTTCCCTTTTTCTCCTTTCCCCTTTCTCTTCCTAGTACATATTTTTTTTTTTAACATTTTATTGCTACCATATGCCTACCAGTAACTCTTAAAATAGATTAATAAGCAGCCAGGACTTCATTCAGTGGTGGCTTCAGTGTTCGAGGAGAGTTCTTAAAAACCATAAGATGCCATATGATTTTCAGTATGTTTGTGAAATTTCCTGAACTATTGTACTTTGTGGTCACTGGTCAATATAATGGTGAAAAAACAATAAAGTATGCCTCTGGGGTGAATATTCCCCCTCCTCCCATGGCTTCTGCCAATAATTGTACATAGCATTGTTTTTATTTTAAAACTAGTAATTATAATTAATTTGTGTATTGTCCATATCTACAGTGATCTCAATATGGCAAGGTTCATATGAAGTAATATATATGGAAAAAGACACTTACATAAAGTTCAGGACATTTATTAGAGGAAATATTTCACCTTGAATGGCTTCTTCAGTCCTAACAAAGCCACTTGTGGTAAAACGTTTCCTCTAATAAATGTTCTGAACTACAAAACATTTCCCCATAAAGCCACATATTTTAGCACACTAACTTCAGATACAGTCATGCATCACTTAACAATGGAGATACATTCTGAGAAATGTGTCGTTAGATGATTTCGTCATTGTGTGAACGTCATTACATTAAGTGTCTTTTTCCATATCTTGTTGATATCATCATACCATTTTTCAAAAACTAATATATGTTACTGTCAGAGCATAGGGAGTGATTAGTTTTTGCTAATATGAAAAACTTTGAAAAATTTCACTCTTGGAATGGCCTTTAAAGAGTACTGTATGTGTGATAAAAACTATAATGTGTTGAGCCTACATGTACAATTTTTTTTTAGGAGCAGGTATGCATGTATTTCCATGCTTAATCACTTCAGAGGTTGCTATTCTGTTGATGAAATGCCTAGTAGTGTACAAATAATAAATACCAAGCACACCACAGATAAAATATACATTCCAACAGAAATCTCACTGGTAAGGTATGTTGATCATGTTCCTTTATTGCAAAGGCACTGCCATAAGAAATGGGAGATTATCTGACTTTGGTCAATCTGCATAGGATAAGAGTGATCTTCTATAGTTACCCTTCAGGCGCATAGCACGTAACGTTTTCTGTAATGGTTGCGGTCACTTTTTTTTTTTTTTTTTTTATTCCTCCCCGCCCTCCACCCTTCCATACCTCTCTATATAATGTCAGTTTTCATTAATTTGGGTGTCTTTATCATGCTTCTACATGGCCTGGTGGCTAAAGCTCTTGCTTCAAACGGCGAGGGTCTGGGTTCAGTTCCCAGCCAGGGTAGAAACATTGGGCGTGTTTCTTTACACCTGTTGTCTATGTTCACCCATCAGTAAAATGGGTACTTGGGGTGTTGTTCGACTGGTGTGGGTCGCATCCTGGGACACTAACCTAATTTGCCTAAATGCTCGGCATAAAAAGGGGCTTTCTATATAGTAGTATGTCATTGATGTCAGCTAGGCCTGTATACCTTATACATGTACTTGTAGTGTAAATCATTATTATTATTATTAAAGATATTAATATTAATAATTAATTAATTAATTAACCTAATATTATTCTGGAATAAATGATAGGTAGATAACCTTTGATTGTAATAGTATAATTATACAATATTTTAGTGCCGAGAGGCACACCCCTCCACGCGTCACGGGCCATCATGAGTTACTGTGACACTGCTCCTTCTCCCTCTGCTATGGCTCCACCCACTTTGTAACTATACCAGATGGCAAATTAAATATGCATATTAGAAAGAAAAAAGAAAAATGAAACTCCAACTTGATAACTTTATTTTAATTTGCATAACTCATATATTACAGAAAACAATAAAAATGTAAAATACACACACAAGTTAAGCTTACAGAAAAATAGCTTAAGAATCTGGCAACATTTCAGTATAAGTATCATCTTTGTACCATGTTCCTACAAAGAATTAGTCATTTTACAAAAATTATTTTTATGACGTGGCGAGTAATATACACCTGAACGTGTAGTGAATTTTCATAATTTTTTTTTTCCTGTCTAATACATTAAATTCACCATCTAACATTGTTACAAAGAGGGAGGAGCTAAATGAGAGGGAGAGGTGAGCAGTAGCATTTAGTATCTGGTTAGTAGTCATGGGCGTTGGATGTTAGCCATGGCACTGATAAAATGTTGTGTAATTACGCTAATATTAGTAATAAAGGTTATCTATTACATTTATTCCAAAGTGATATCAGAAAAATGATAAATATCCTAGAACTGTAATAAAGACGTGCCATATTAAGTGAATGGGGTAGACGATGGAGGCTGCTGCTCTGGGATAAGATCATGAAATAGATACGTTTTCTCATTTGTACCTCTGGTTGATAAAAGAAAATGGTGTCTACATCAGGGAAACACTCCTAGCTCATTCTTGTTATCAGAAAAAACACAAAAGTAGCATTTATTATTATAATAATTTATAATACAGTGGACCCCCGCATAACGATCACCTCCGAATGCGACCAATTATGTAAGTGTATTTATGTAAGTGCATTTGTACGTGTATGTTTGGGGGTCTGAAATGGACTAATCTACTTCACAATATTCCTTATGGGAACAAATTCGGTCAGTACTGGCATCGGAACATACTTCTGGAGTGAAAAAATATCGTTAACCGGGGGTCCACTGTACATTAGGGCCCCACTTACATGGCAGGTTAGGTTCAGGCTGCCGCCGTAAAGTGGAACACACACGCTCCCCCCCCCTCTCTCTCTCTCTCCTCCCCCTCACACTTATAAATGCATATAAATACTAGATAACAAGTTTACACTTAACATATAGTACTATGTTAGCAATAGAACTAGGCATTAAAAAACAATAAAAAAGTAAAATACACATAGTACACTCATTACTTACCTTAAAATATTTCTAGTCTTAATCTAAGGTGAGATGAATAGTATTTATTCTAAAAAACTGTGTGGTATGTATGGTAGCCAGCCAGGCTACCATACCAGGCCACCCCACCACACATAATATACTATGACATTTAAAGTGTCCCAGAGTAATAATATGCATATACAGTTCACTCATTACTTACCTTAAAATATGTGTAGTCTTAATGTAGGGTCAGAGGTGAGTAAACGAGAGAGGACAGACGCAGAGTTATGTAAACAAACCAGGTGAATGCGTGTGGTTAGTGTACAAGTTGTCTCCACGTTGATACAGTAGAATAAATAAAGAGCAACACTCCCATTTTTATGTAACACCATTTTTAGAAGAAATGACACTGAGTGAATGTATACAAAAGGAATAGTTTTCTACAGTTACCCCCAGTAATATAGTGTAGGCATTTTCTCTGGACTAGAGGAAATGTCATTCTTGCCGTCACTCCTACAAGTTGCCTGGCTACCACATCTCGTATTTATATTAATTTATTCTTCTGTGGGGTGTATTTATCATATTTATATGTTACATAGTGTATTTATTATATAATTTTGAAAAAATCTCATAGATGGATTAATGAAAATGTGTATATTAACGTAATATATGACATTTAATGTACCTCTGATTATTATTATTATTATTAATATGGCATCTCAAGACATAAGACACTGATTTTTACTGTGTACCGGCACACCAGCACAGTGTGTAAGTTTATTTAGATACAGGTATACACAAGTATAATTAACAGAGTATATATAAAATATGAAATAACTTTTAAAAGCACTTAAAATTTTGGAAAGTTTCCAGACATAATGGAGAGATGTGGTGCTCACGGAGAATGTAAACAAACCAGGTGGGGCACGGTGACCGTATTAGAAAGTCAGGTGGGGAGAGCCAAGTAGCAAGTTTTGGTCATAATTTGAAATGTCTGTATTAGCGGAATGCCAATAAGCAGGGCAATACTACACATACATGTACACGTTTATTTATACACACTCATCTGAGTTTTCTTTGATTTTATCTTAATAGTTCTTGGTCTTATTACTTTTCCTTTTATATCCATGGGGAAGTGGAATAAGAATCTTTCCTCCGTAAGCCATGCGTGTTGTAAAAGTCAACTAAAATGCCGGGAACAATGGGCTAGTAACCCCTTTTCCTGTAATAAAAAGAATAAGAAGAAGAAAATTGTCAAAGTGGGAAGTCTGAATGTGCGTGGATGTTGTGCAAATGATAAGAAAGAGATGATTGTGGATGTTATGAATGAGAAGAAACTGGATGTCCTGGCTTTAAGTGAAATAAAGCTGAAGGGGGTGGGAGAGTTTCAATGGAGAGGAATAAATGGGATTAGGTCAGGGGTTTCAAATAGAGTTAGAGCTAAAGAAGGAGTAGCAATAATGTTGAAGGATAAGCTATGGCAGGAAAAGAGGGACTAAAATGCATAAATTCAAGGATTATGTGGAGTAAAATAAAGATTAGATGTGAAAAGTGGGTTATAGTAAGCGTGTATGCACCTGGAGAAGAGAGAAGTGTAGAGGAGAGAGAGAGATTCTGGGAAATGTTAGTGAATGCGTGGGGAGTTTTGAATCAAGTGTGAGAGTAATGGTGGTTGGGGATTTCAATGCTAAAGTGGGTAAAAATGTTATGGAGGGAGTAGTAGGTAAATTTGGGGTGCCAGGGTAAATGTAAATGGGGAGCCTTTAATTGAGCTATGTGTAGAAAGAAATTTGGTAATAAGTAATATATATTTTATGAAAAAGAGGATAAATAAATATACAAGGTA